CTCAGTCGCAGCAGATTGTGTTTGTTTGTGTAATGTGAGCGTGTGGGAGAGTGTGTGAGCACACACCGAACACAGCTTCCTCCCGCCGCAGTAGCTCGCATGAATCTAATGAGCTTTTTCTTCCCGATTGCGCCCCGAAACTCACGCCATCTCTCCCATTATGCTTGATAATGAATTGGCCTCATTAAGAATAACAATCTCTGCGGCCTTGATCTCGCTCTGCATCGCGCCACAAAATAGGGAACAGCTTTTTGGTGGACAGGCTGTGAAACGTAAAAACATCTGTTTTAGTGTATGTATCTGTTTATTGTATTTATCTAGTTGCCCTCATTCAACACACAGCTGCGAGCTTTCAGACATTTTAAATGTTACGCGCTAAACGTCAGCATCGTGACATTTGGCATTGTTGCCGTCATCGTTCGGATGCCCCACTAGCATGTGCCTGCGGCCCGTGGAGGCTGTTTTGTCATGTTGCGGAGTTTCAGACGGCGTTGGTCATCTTTCTGATAAATGAGTTGGCGTAACCTGAATTATGCATGCGCATTAGTGCCTCCCTTCAAAAAGCCCTGTGTGCATTAAGCTTTGACCTGGTGCTTTTTGTGCTTGCTCTGCAATATATGAGAAAGTGTGCGCTTGAATGAGGGAAGCTGCACACGCGCGTGTGTGTGTAAGTGTGTGTGCGTGCAGTGGAGCAGCGATGACGGCAGCACTCTCACTGAGGGAAAATATTTAACTCAGATGGAGATCTGAGTTGTATTTTTATCTTCCTTCGATCCATTCAAGTTTTATTTAGATACACCGTCCTTGACCACATTTCAGGACTGCGGTAGTACTAGCGCTTGAACTAGCGTTTTAATGGTAAACCATAGATGATGATTTGTGCGACTGATTCCATTCTTATTATGTTCCACGTTAAGTTCATATCAGAGAGTACCGTGCAGTGAGAGTTTTTGTTCTTTACCTCCAAAATCCTGGAGCCCTGTGAAAGGTTCTCAGTGAAAAAAAAAAGAACACACTAAGGGAAGCTGAGAGGGACAAAAAAGGGTCCAGTCCTTCGCCTGTTAAAGTGATGCTTTTACAGCAGCACAGAGGCACTTCTTTCAGGAAGACGGGTTCTCACAGTGCTCTCCTCCCGGCGTTAGATGGGCCCTTCTGGGAAATATGTCCTCTTCCTGTGTCGTGTGTGTGTGTGTGTGTGTGTGTAGTAGTAAGTGCATATCTCGCCAACCTCCACTCAGGCTGCTCGTTGGAGGCCTTTTTTCATACTTCAGTGCCGGTGTAACAACATGAGAAGTGAAGCACTGATGAGTCTCACAAATTGTGGTGTGGAGGTGCAGTTGGGCAACGTAAAAAAACTCAGTTCATGCTGCATAATTTTGTAGGAACATTATGGTTTTATTTGTGTCAACAAGGCATATTGATGCTTTATTTGCAGTAGATCTTTTCTGTACATGTCTCCCAGAGCCATACCACATACATACAATGTTACAGACGATAAATACTATGCAGTAATCCGTATTGATTGGGTTGAAGCCGTTGATTGGGCAAAAAAAAAAGCTTGATTTTGGAATTATGCAATACAAGTGCTGTCAGATTGACATCTGACAGCACTTGTCACTTGTTTCCCCTGGGAGTTGCATTTTGAGAGAATAGTGCACACTGTTCAAATATAGGGAGTATAAGTTAGAGTAAGCATGCTTCTTTGACGTAGTGTATAGGTTTTTGTAAGGACAGCTATCGTTGCACATTACTTCCCATGTCCACGGACGAGCCGATTTCTTCTTCACACTCTGAGTAAACATTGACACAATCGCTGCAGTGTCCTGAGCGTGACGGACACTCTGACCAGAGTGTGAGCGGTGACGCTCAGGAGCAGATGTCTGCTGTAACATACCGACCGGACAGCAAAATAAGGACGGCCTGTCTGGTACCATCAGCACCTGCGGCTCCATTTCCTCCTTCACTTTGCCCGTTTTCTTCTTTTGTTCTGTGTTTGAATTGTCTAATTCATCTTTGATTAATGCTCCTCAAGGGATTTAGTGGAGCACTACTTTTTTTATCCACAGGTACAATGTGTAATTCCTGGCGGTTGTTTCACCTCGACCACTTGAGCGTGTGTAGCGCATCCTAGTCTTCCAAACACTCAAAGTGCCATTCACACACACTCGTCACAGCGATGGGGGCATTTTGGGGACGACGCTGCTGACAGCTGGTGCTGTACAGTGACAACAGCAGCATTTGTATCTTTTGCACATTTTCACCTGTTTTAAACTTTCAAAAGCAAACTTGCCACTCCTCACATGGATTCCTCCCGTCCACACGGCTTTGGGTCCAGTTACCCGACGGGGCTCCGCTGAGCAGCAGAGCATCATCACGGCCCTCTTTGAACTGCAGCGCAGAGTGTCTGCGAGGGCGGAGCAGCGGCTCTGAGTTGGTGGGTGAAGCGGCTCGAAGCCCACGCAGCCCGCCCACCCGCCGCAGAGGACCGAAGGCTGACGTAACGTTCCAGCGTTGAGAGTCAGAGGACAACGGGTGGTGTAGTGTAGTCGACGGTGCAGCTTTTAATCCCTGTGTGTATGTGTGTGTGTGTGTGTGTGTGTGTGTGTGTGTGTGTGTGTGTGTGTGTGCGTCCGTGAGAAGCTTCAGTACCACAGTCGTCTCAGGGTTGTCTGAAGCTTCTTCTTCCATTGCTACTCCTCTTTCTTCACTTGACCAAGCAGGTTATCACGTCATTCAGGCAATACAAACATTCTTCCCACATATGGATATCTGGTAATTTGCCTCACATTTAGTAACACATTTGTGACATATTTTGGAATATACTTAATACTAATAACTGAAATAACGGAGATTATCATGTTATCATGTTGTAAAAATGATTCAACTTATATGGTGTTTTAAAAATACTAAGTCACTTACCAAAAAACAACATCCACATGCAGTTATGTATCTGTATCTCCTCAGAAAGAGCTTTTTAGCCAAAACCTCTTGACTCAACTCAGTGCCGCTCTGTGTGTCTGTGGATTTAATCATAACGTGAGTGAATCAAGCGGCAGGTATATAACGTGAAACCGGCAGATTCTTACAAAATACCTGACGCAAATACGTTTGCGTCAGGTATTAACAGCAAAGGGTGCTCTACTAGGTGCTGAAGATGCTTGTCATGGGGGGTTCGTGTTGAGACTGTGGTGGTCATTCAAAGTATTATTTTGTGTTGAATCTAGATAAAAAGCCCTGTAATATTAGTTTTCAGGGCCCAGACGCGCTCAGGCTTCATTTGTCCCGCCGCTTCGGTCTTAAAATGAGTTATTTATGGCACGATAGCACTGTTGAATAAATCATAAAACTTTTAAATGCAATTCCTCCTTTGACATACAGCATGACTCCTGTTTAAAAGGATCATGGGGTAAAGATATTTTTCAACTCTGTGGAAGAGTAAGGTATTGCATATAGTTGGTTCAACGTTATCTGACTCTCCAGATATGAATGAAAGGCAGCATTGTGTTCACGCCTGCCTGAGTCGCTTGTATTTGGATCATTTTGACAATGGAAATGGTTTGCATGTAATTGTTATGGTTAAAAATCACATTATCAAATTTGGCCCCCGGCGTGTGTTCTTGTGTAATTTGTTTATTGCAGCAGAGAAATATTTCCAATGAACCTAATGTGCAATGCGGGTGGAATAAGTATTGATTGCAACTGTGTATTTATTCATTCATTGAATTATTCTTTGTTAGTGTCGTGTTTTCTGTGACTCCTTTTTTCTGTCACACACACACACACACACACACACACACACACACCTACAAACACACAGGCAGCCAAAGAGGAATAACAATTGAATGGCTGATTCAGTGTGGGGGAGGCAAACCAATAGGAGGGAGCAGGTTTACATAAGGAGTGTGTGGGTGTGGGGGTAGGTGTGTGTGTGTGGGGGGGAGTATATAAAGGGGGTTCAGAACAAGTTGAGGCACAAAAGGGGGCATAAATATGAAAAAGAGAGAGCGAGAAAAGGGGGAAGGGGTCTGTGTGGTTATTTATGAGGCATTTAAATACGACACGGTTTAATCTCTTCACGCACACACTCACACACACAGACCCCCCCACACACTCACACACACTGACCCCCACACACACACACACGTCCCATCCCAGTGTCATGGTGTCTGCACATAATTATCACTACATAAGATTTGTGTTTGTGGATTTGTTGAAAGAGAAGAGAGAGCCAGATTCTGGATGTATGCCTCCTTATGAAGAATTATAAAATGTTGCCATTTGAGAAGCTGAAAACAACTTCTAAATAACTTATGATTAATGTTGTTCAAGTTGTCACCAAATCATTTTTTCATGAATCAAGCAAATTTTCCCTGTAGCTTTAATTTCAGTGCCTTATTTTCGGTGTCACGTGGTCAACTGATAAAATATTCTCAAATAGGAAAACGTTTCCTAAATTGTATGTGTATTATTTTGTTTTTTGATTGTACACACTGAGCAGTGTCGCTGCTTATCGGAATATACACTGTTTAGACATCACACCTGATAGAAACTTTATTCTCATGCTGTTCAGAGCAAATGATCAGATTAAATTTTGGTGTATTATTTGCTACACAATTGCATAGTCATGAATAAAAAGTAATGAAGAACAAACTGATATATGCTTAAAGATGATGAGTTTATGTTAAAACTCCCAAGGGCCTCTTTAGAGACACGGATTCACCGATTAAGGTTGGTAGTAGTAAGCTCATTATCATAACTGCTAAAAACTGCTAAAAAACTGTAAGCTCATTATCATAACTGGTCAGGTGTGTGTGTGTGTGTGTCACATAATTGCTCAGGTTAGAACATTTCTATATTTTCACTCCAACATTTCAAACATTGTGAGCAATCCAAGTACAAGCTTTTTACCGTTTGGGAATCGAATGATTTGGTTTACGCCTGGAACATTACTATCCTGTCTTTCAGCTCCTGACTTTTTCTCTCTCATCCCATCCGTGCAGGAGGGCCAGCAGCTGATCCAGGAGAAGCCGGAGCTCAGCACCGGGGTCCGGAGGAAGCTGGAGGAGATCAGGGAGTGCTGGCAGGACCTGGAGAGCACCACCCAGGCCAAAGCCCGCCAGCTCTTTGAGGCCAACAAGGCGGACCTGCTGGTGCAGAGCTACGAAAGCCTGGACCAGAGACTGGGCCAATTGGAGGGTCAGCTGGCCTATGTGGACCAGGGACAGGACCTCACCACTGTCAACAAGCAGCTGAAAAAACTACATGTATGTAGGATTAGAAGACACACAAATAAACAGAAACCTCTGTGTCTTTTGAAAAGTGGTTCCCAAACTATTTCTGTCATAACCCCTTTTTGAGGATATAGGAATGGGTCGTACCTTCTTCCTTTTGAATTAATTGCATTATATTACATAAAAGTATATTTATATATATATATATATATATTTATATATATATATATTTATAAAAATAAGTACATATCACCTCACTTTTCTACTTGATTTTTTTTAACAAAACCATTTTTTATTTATTATATACCAAATAAAAAAGGTAAAATTAACAAAAATTCAAACTCTGTAAGGCAGAAAAGTGCTTAACACAAAAATAATACCAGTCAATTCACTGTCACCCGAGAGTCAAAACAACACCCAACTCATGTTTACAGTTCTGTCACATTCCTCTCATCCCACTTACCCCTTAACATGTCCTCTCACCTTCCTCCTTCCCCAACCCTACTCTTCAGACCATGGAGAGCCAGATGGAGACGTGGTATAAAGAGGTGGGGCAGCTCCAGATGCAGGTGGCTTCCATCCCGCAGCAGACGCAGATCAAGGAGACGGTTGCGGGCCGCCAAGCCGTTGTGGAGGCCAGGATGGTGCGTCTGATCGAGCCGCTGAAAGAGAGGCGGCGCATCCTTCTGGCGTCAAAGGAAGTTCATCAAGTCGGGCGAGACCTGGAGGATGAGATTGTGAGTTTGACCTCCGGCCCCCTAACACACACATCTTCAACGTCTTATCTTAAAATATTAGGATTTACATCGTGTGGGAATGGCATGTTAATGTTTATCCCTCTTCTATTCCAAATTTTTAGGAAAGCTCTACGTTCTAATTAGAGACACAGATTCTCCCGCGGTAAATGGTGGCGTGTTGACTGCTATGTTTCATGTTGTCTTGGTTGTAGTTGTGGGTCCAGGAGCGCCTCCCAATGGCCATGTCTCATGAGCACGGCTCGTCTCTGCAGGCAGTACAGCAGCTCATGAAGAAGAACCAGGTAAGAAAAGACAAATTGCTCACCCACCTTTTTGTGTTCTGGACTGATCTCCAACATTTATAATATCTGTATTATCAGCCTGATGTCAATTTAATTTATTTGAATAGTTCAAAATGACAAATTAGCCTCAGAGGGCTTTACAATCTGTACAGCACACGTCACCCTCTGTCCCTGCACCCTCGCATGGGAAAAGGCAAAAAGGGAAGAACCTCAGGTGGAGCAACATATTCCCCTGCATCTCTCTTCCAGACACTTCAGAGGGAGCTGCAGGGCCACAGGAGCAGGATGGACGACGTCCTCGAGAGGGCGGGGATCATCGCCTCCATCCGCAGCCCGGAGGCCGACTGCGTCCGGGCGGGCCGCGACCAGCTCGCCCAGCTGTGGGCTCTGCTCTGGGCCGAGACCGAGAGAAGGCAGCTGATCCTAGACGCCATGTACCAGGCCCAGCAATACTACTTCGACACGGCTGAGGTGGAGGCTTGGCTGAGCGAGCAGGAGCTGCACATGATGAACGAGGAGAAGGGGAAGGTGTGTGCGCGTTAAATGACGTAATAGTTACCCTGATTGTCTCTGTGAGAGGGCACAGGCAATGAAATCATCAGGATGTTTTATGATGTCGCTGAGTGGGAGCCGGACCTCCCTCTTCTTGACGCAGTAGACTTATGCATTGAACATTTGTGCAGCGTGTGTCATTTCTTTCAAGTGAAACTCTTCCTTGTCTTGCTCCTGACAGGACGAACCGAGCACACTGCAGCTGCTGAAGAAACACTTGGTGCTGGAACAGACCATCGAGGACTACGCCGAGACCGTCGGCCTGCTGTCACAGCAGTGTCGCCAACTGCTGGAGATGGGCCATCCAGACTGGTGAGCGTGTAAACACGCACCGGCACAATGTAGCTGAGGTTTTGCGTCTCCACACAATACATGACAGGAATTCTCTTCATTTCCCACATGAAGGGTTGGATTTCAATAGATGGTTGCCGAATCCAACCCCCCAAAAAATGTTTAAATGCAAATCCTAGTTCCTAAATTTCCTCCTCATCATCCTGCAGTCTAGCCACAGAAGGTCCAGTGAAGATTCTTGAATGAATGTATCTGAAAGCACACTTTGAGTATTTGCTTTGAGTATTTCAAAAACTGCTGATCTCATAACATTTTAGTCATAGAAAAGTCATTTTTAAAAAGTCATAGCACAGCGCATCAGAAAAGACTCCACAGTAGAAGGAATAAACATTATCTGGGTTGACCAATCTGGATTTCTGCGACAACAAGCACATCTCTCCTTTTCCACAGCGAGCAGATCAGCAAGCGTCAGTGTCAGATCGACCGTCTGTACGTGTCTCTGAAGGACCTGGTGGAGGAGAGAAAGAGCCGCCTGGAGCAGCAGTACTGGCTCTACCAGCTCAACAGGGAGGTGGACGAGCTGGAGCAGTGGATCGCTCAGAGGGAGGTGGTCGCCAGCTCGCCGGAACTGGGCCAGGACTACGAGCATGTCACCGTAAGTGTGTTGACAGGCGGCGCCAGACCAAGAATAAGAGATTGAAGAATTGGGTCTCTGCGGCACCGGGGTGATACATGGAGAACCTCCTTCCATTCCCTTTCTCCTTCTCACCTCCTCCCCCAACTCTCCTCCAGGTGCTCCAAGAGAAGTTCACAGAGTTTGCGTCAGAGACGGGCAGCGTGGGGCAGGAGCGAGTGACGGCAGTCAACCAGATGGTGGACGAGCTCATCGACTACGGACACTCGGACGCCGCCACCATAGCCGAGTGGAAGGACGGGGTGAACGAGGCCTGGGCCGACCTGCTGGAGCTCATGGAGACGCGGGCGCAGATGCTCGCCGCCTCACATCAGCTGCACAAGTTCTTCTCCGACTGCAGAGAGGTAAAGGGAACGAGACAAAAGCACAGATAAGTCCTAGTGATTTTACCACATACGTCGATTATAAAAAGGCGCAAATATTCCACTTCCTTGATTGCTAAGGGATTTTTCTTTGTGTCACAACACGTATGATACATAATCCAATACATTAGAGATTTGTTTTTTAATGATCAGATTTCAATACACGACTGAAAATCAAACATTATTTGGAGAAAGAAACTGATCACCGCAGTTCACTGTTAAGGCCTCATTGTGGTGAGAAAAGCAAAACAAACAAAAAGATTCAGATCTATTGCGTCTTTCGGCTTTTCAGACAATATTTTTAAAGTAAAGCAATTTCTGGATTATTCATTTTTGTCCGTTTAATAATAAAATCCAATATTTCAAGAACAACTTGTTATATAGGACATTTTTTAGCTTTGAAGGAGGAGAGTAGAATGAGCAACGGCGTTTAAACTTGTTCAGTGGTTTTCCCCAAATCTCTCGTGCCACAAGGAGATTATCTAAGCACAGGCTGTACTTCTCCTTCAGGTGCTGGCCCAAATCGAGGACAAGCACCGCCGGCTGCCTGAAGTGCGGGCTCGGCAGGGCAGCACTGCCAACACCAGCACCCTACAGAGACTCCTGCACAGCTTCGAGCAGGACATTCAGCTGATGGTCACACAGGTACGGCATCACAAGCACCGACCGCTGTGAAAAAGGATCCGCTGCACAGTTCATCTACCTCATGTCTCACAGAGGGAAATCTGTATAATCAGTAAAATGGCAACTACTGTTATTGATTTTATCAATAATACAGTCATACAGTCCAGACTTTTTGTTACAGGTATGATGGTTTCTTTGATGTGATTCATTTATTTTCATTCCAAACCGTAAATGACAATCTTCACAACGAAACAACTCTCTCACTCTGCATTTATTTTAGCTTAATTTCGTCTCCGTCATGAATCTAGAGAACAGAAGAGAGAGTTTTACATTTTACTGCAGAGGGAAATGAAATCCCAGCTTCTCCGCGTCCACGCCAGTGACAGAGCCTGTGCTGCTCGGCGCTTACCAAACACAGCTGTCAGAGCAGCTGTGTAAACTGCGTCATTTGGAAAACACACGCTTTTCATTTCCTTTTTAAATGCCCGTTTCTTCCTCGCTCGTGCTTGGCCTATTCTTAAAATCCACTCGCTCTGCCAGGTCCGTCAGCTGCAGGAGAGCGCGGCCCAGCTGAGGACGGTGTACGCCGGCGAGAAGGCCGAGGCCATCGCGTGCCGCGAGCACGAGGTGATGCAGCTGTGGAAGGAGCTGCTGACGTCCTGCGAGGAGTGCCGGGTGCAGATCACCACTGAGACGGACAAGCTGAGGTTCTTTGGAATGGTTCGAGATCAGATGATGTGGATGGAATCGATCATCTGTCAGATTGGGACAGGAGAGAAGCCCAGGTAACTGCACTACTTCAGGTTTTCTACCATTGAGGGTTTGGTCTTTGAGACCTTCAAATGTGTTGTTATAACCAGGTTATGGGTAAAAAGCCAGTTATATCTAAGACAGTTAGTTAAAGATTAGTTAGTTAAAGACAGTAAAGTTAAAGAAGAACATTTCCAACTGAAAATAAAAAACTAGATATTTTCTACATTTTAGTCTTAATTTGTAGTGTGAGCGGGTGAGACACTTAAAACAACTAAATACTCCTTCCTCAACTTTGGTACACAAAACCTTTAGGCTGGGACAAAGAACTCCAGAACTATTGAGTTCTAATAAAGTGGTTTTAATAAAATATAAGTTTCCTGAGCTTTCACAGACCACAGGCCACTACTGTCTTTGCTTCTGCTCAAGAACCCCGGGAAAGAACCCTTGGATATATTACAACATATTTAGGCGTTGTTGATTCTTATTGGTCAAAACATGCTGGTGTCTGATTTATTATAAGTTTATGTAACAGGAACAGAGCTGACTCAGGGTCTGTTAAAAGTTAAAGCTGAATTTCAGGTGTTTATAAATTAACGAAGACAAAGTTCTGCTAACTGCCGCACACTGAAGATTAAGGGTTTGATTATAGGTTTCCCTGAGCCACACGCTTGCAGGTGTTTTTGTGTAGCGATGAGCTGAGTCTCTGCTCTCTGCGGGTCCTGCAGGGACGTGTCCTCAGTGGAGGTGCTGATGAATTACCACCAGAGTCTGCAGAGCGAGGTGGAGGCTCGCAGCCGTAGCACCCTGGAGTGTATCGAGATGGGCAAAACTCTGCTGGCTGCTCGAAACCCAGCAGCCGAAGAGGTGAGATGAACTTTGGTTGATGATCTGCGAGGGATATGTTTTGTAATTATATATATAATTTAGATGTTTTACCTACATATTATATATTTCCATTTTAAGATAAAAGGGATCACAAAAGCCAAGTCATGGATAAAAAAAATATACAAGTGAACAGTAACTAATAACTGGACCTACACTCTAAATATACACAACAACAGAACCTGGTAACCACCTGAACTTTCTTTGAGCGCTAATTTGGACTCCTGTGATGTTTTGATTCTGATGGCGCTGATTTTGATCCTCAGATCAAGGAGAAGCTGGACAAGGTGGTTGCTAAGCAATATGAGCTGTCTGAGAAGTGGGACAAACACTGGGACGTCCTACAGCAATGTGAGCACACACACATCCACAAACACAGTACGGTAGTCAAAGCCAACTTAATCGAGTCCAACTGGATTCCAATCAAGACTGAATCAAGACCTGGAACAAAGACCAGAGCAAATCAAGTTGTCTCAAGTGTCTTTCCAGGGTCAACATAGCGATTAATGACATAGAATTGACAAACATACCTATGAACAAAATTCATTGACTAACATCAAACTATTTTCGTATGACGATCATTAAATCAACTGCGATTGACCCAACCACGGACTGCTGACAGAAGGTTAGATGTGATCGAAAAACGTTATCATGCAGCCCAATGCTCAGGTTTCACAGTAGCTAAATGTGTCAAACAGAGGGAACCGTGAATCATACGGTTGCAGCCAGGGACAGCTTGGCCAGTTCTTAAATCCAACACAGGACAAGTCTGTTTCACAGCCCTGCACACACACACACACACACACACGCCTACCTGCTATTTTTCATAGATAAACAAGAATGTTCAAACACACAAAGATACACATCATTTATAAAGAATTAATACACATATAATGTGTCTTCAGATGCTCGTGAGTATCATTTTTTATTGATGCTGATTGTTTTTATCCTGTTTATCCTTTGGCTGGCCACTGGCCTTTAAAAGTGCTGTATAAATAAAATTGACATTGACATTTCTGTCTGTCCTCCCTCAGTGTTGGAGGTCCACCAGTTTGCCCAGGAGGCGGTGGTGGCGGAGGCCTGGCTGACGGCTCAGGAGCCGCTCATCAGCAGCAACGAGCTGGGCGCCAGTGTAGACGAGGTGGAGCAGCTGATTCGTCGACACGAAGCCTTCCGCAAAGCCGCTGCCACCTGGGAGGAGCGATTCAGCTCACTGCGGCGACTGACCACGGTAATGTAACCATCATCATCATCACTGTCATCAGCGTCATTCTCATTCTATACTAGGTTTATGTTTAACAACTATAATTGTTGGTGACACACTTTAGGATTTACAATATGGGAGAGAGGTTTCTATAATATATTAATAATAATCCGCTGTCAAGTTGGTCTAAATGTTTTAAATATCCTGTTTTCTTTCCACAGGTAGAAAAGCTAAAAGCCGAGCAAAGCAAACTACCGCCGACCCCGCTGCTGGGTCGTAAAGTCTTCCTGGACCCTCAAGATGCCTCACCCGGTGTGTCCACCCTTCCCCGCCTCCCCCTGTCCCCCGTCATGAGACAGACTATCTATGAGCAGAACGAAGCCAATTCTCCACGCTCGCCCTCGCCCGCCACGCCCACACCCTCTCCCTCGTCCGTGGCCCGTCGGCTGGGGTCGACGGTCGCCAACTACACCCCCGTGATGAACGGCTCCGGCTACCGCCGCGCGCTGGAGGCGCGGCACAGCGGCGTCGTGGGCGTGGCCGCAGGGCTGGGCCAGCCCGCGCCCTCCTCGATCGCCTCAGTTGCCGCGGCGGCCATGCTGGTATCGGCCAACCAGGCGCGAGAGAACGACGGCGCGCCGAGGGACCAAGTGACTAAGGCGATGACTCACCTCCACCCGGCACACGCGGCGAGGACGCTGGAGGCCAAATCGTCGCCGTATCTGCGGCAAGCCAAAATCAAACACATGGACGACGCAGTGACGCCGCTGATCGTGGCCAGCCGACTGGAGAAGGCGCGGGAGAAGGAGAGAGCGAGGGAGAGGGACATCATGATGGGGGAGATAGGGACGGAGAAAGCGGAGGTGGCCGTGATGGCCGAGGTGGTGCTCCAGGAGCCGTGCAGGGAGCGCCTGCACAGCGAGCCCACCAGAGGGCCGCGGGGATCCAGGACCGACCCGCTGGGCCAGGCTGAGCCCCAGGTCCAGACCCACAGGGACCACAGGATGGAGCGGCAGCTGTCCAGCGAGCAGCTGATCCAGGCTCGCAGGGACGAGCTGCCTCAGGAGTTGTGGAGGGAACAGGCCGAGAGGCGGGAGAAACGGGGGCTGGAAAGGCAGACGTCCAGTGAGCACGAGGGCCACGGGGGCCACGAGGGCCGGCGGAGAGAGAGAGACCGACACCGGCTGGAGAGACAGGAATCCAGTGAGCATGACACCGGGAAAGAGCACTCAGACAGACGCTCAGCCGGAGGGTGAGGCTTTGAGTGTACCGAGGTGTCTTTAGGTTCCGTTAAGTTTAACGTGTTATGCAGCACGCGGAGTCATTGTCTCATCTCAGGGGACACCAGCTGCTGGTTATGCAGAATATCATTGGATGTTTAGTTGAAAGGGATCACTTTTGGGAATGTGAATTGATGAAAATGTCAAAAACAACCCAAATGTGTGATTACTTATCTAGAAAGTGATTGGAACACTATTCATGTTTTTATTTAATCTTTTTCATGGTATTCTGTAATTTGCATTTTTCTACAGAGAGAAGAGATCCACCATGGCAGAAATTGTAGAGCAGCTGCAAGAAAGGGAAGCAGCACAGGTCTGGAGATTTCTATGCTAAATTTAATATGTGCAGTGTTTTATTTTCATCTTGGTGTTTTTTGTTTGTCCCGCCTCTAAATGACAGTGACTCAGATTGGTTTGTTCACTACACTACACTTTTTTTTGGTCGTCTCCACTTTTCACTAGGTTGAATGTTTTGAATTCTGACCGCTCACCTGCTCTCTGACAATGACTTTAAATTTAAAATTATTAGCAGGGTCAAACATCTCTCACCATAGCAGCTGTAGAGAGATCACCAAATAAGATCCAGCCAGGCTTCAAGTAATGTCCAGCCCACAAGTGTCTGCACCAATCAGCGTCCTGTTAGAAGCTGCTGGCAGCTACAGGCATGTTTGAGGTACAAGTAAGACGACGCCGCGAGGGCGAGTATTGGTTAGAAGAAACAATGGCGTCTCTGAAAGAGCGTAACCGCAGATGCTAATATATCTCTTCATTAAAGGATGAACAAAGAACGCCACTAAAGGCTTTTGTCTTTTCTCCCAACTGGCCGCGGCAGGACTTTGATTGACAGACAGGTCATCCAATCACCACCAAGTATTATTTTTGGAAGGGCCTGCTCAGATTACAAAACCTCAAGGGCAGATGTTGTCTTTTCAGACAGCTGTTTATTCACAGTAACCAACCGTATCATGTGAAAAGGATGATGCCAAACCAACTTACCTTAGTAATCCTGACTGGCTCCCATCACTCCTCCCCCGGCTCCAGGCCCGTGGCGAGGTGCCCCGCCTGCCCAACGGGGTGCCGGAGAAGCCCGCCCGCCTGGACCGACCCCGAGCCCGGGACAGGCCCAAACCGCGGCGTCGACCACGGCCCAAAGAGGCGGGAGAGACCACGCGGCGGTCCAGGTCGGCTCCGGCCCAGAGCAGCCCGGTGGTCCCCCAGCCGCCAGCACACAACGCACACCACGAGGGCTTCCTGTTCCGCAAGCTGGACATCGAGACCCTGAAGAAGAGCACCAACAGGTGGGTGTTCAGGGTCATGATCATGGGCATAACATCTGGTCTAGCAGAAGATAGAAGTAGTAGAGCGGGAGGATGGACACTGGTGTCATCACTATCAGGCTTCAGGGTTTCCGATCAATTCTTTAATTTACCAGAAAAAAATCAATTCATGTGTTCCAGTTGGATGATTACCAACATTTTTATATTCCACAGTCGATCAATATTGATGATTTGAAACTCTCTGCCTGTTTCTCATGACACCACTGCCCTGTCCGTTAATTGATGAAGCAATGGCCACATGGGCATGACTCAAGCATGCTAAGCTAACAGGCTAACCGACTCGGCTTACGCCGCCGGCGTTTGAGACTTTAAAAAGATGCATGACTGCCACAAACGCCGATGACCCACGGGGCCTCATCGGTTGGTAACAACACAATTTGAGCACTCAGCTAAGCTCAGGAGTTCCTCAGCAGAGATACTGCGTGTCTTTAGAAGCATGCACACAAGTTTTACCCGTGTTTACATTCAAGAGTTGCCACGACCTTATTGCGTTTAACAATAAACAACTAATTCGTCATTCTGCAAAGTGGAAGTAAGAGTAAGAGAACTGCTTCTAAATCATTCTTATATCGACAGATTTGTGGCACATCTGACTGTCCCTGTAGTTGATAATCAAGTCACAACTCATACAACTGATACAATGGAAAGGTTTAGCAGGGGAGAAGTAGATGTTTATCTCTATTTGTTTGGTTCAATCTCTAATCAGTTTAAAATAGAAATTGGCGTTAATAAAAGCTGAATGAATATAGTAATCGTAATGGATGTCAGTTCATAATGGGCAATAACAATAATCCTAATAATCAGTAATAAATACTTTTTAAAGATGCATATTCACAATTTCTTTTTTTGTTATTAATAAATTATCTAATTTAATTAGCTAACTAAAATAAATATACCAAAACCAGCAAGTAGTAACATGCAGCTGAGCCTAAATTTGAAATCTGTTCACGAGATCTCTGATCACGAGGACCAAAGAGCGAAGACAACGGTTCTGTGAATTCAAACGGCCATCAGTAGAGTTCTCAGCGCATGTGAAGACATCTTGCATGATGCTTAACGGTCTAACGCGAGCCCACAGAACAGAGCAACAGAGATGGCCGGCCAGCTCGCTGGCTGCCGTGGAGGTTGATGGCGTACACTACCATGTGCACAGTCGCTTAGCCTCGCCATGCACACACACACTCACCACCTGGCCTCCTTAGATGACCGCCCTGCTTCCTTCAGAGAGACACCATCGGCAACGGCTGTCCCTGCACTGCCCTCTAGTGGCTGGGCTGACCACGCACAGCTAAACGCTCATCCCCTCCCAGCTGTGGATGAGTCCCACTCAAGGCAGTGGATGAATGTCTCGTGTATGTACATGCCCTGTAATGTACATGGCAAGGTAAAGCATAATCCTGGATGGCTTCCATTTGGACAAGTGTGAATCTCCAAACTGCTTCAGCAGTGACGAGGCACTGAATATGTTTATGTGCACATTAGTATTCTGGTATTATTCAGAGTGAGTAAACAGTGCATGTGAGCGCTTTACTAGTTTCAGCTTTAGGGTTTGGTTTTTTTGGTCACTTCTAGGTCAGTTAATTATGTATTTTTTCAGTTTTACTGAGGTTTATGTCCATATTCTGAGATAAATGTACTGCTGTAACGTAGTTATATCTTAGCAGTCCAAATCAGTTATGTACGCAGTGTCAAACGCACCACCATTGGTCTTCTCCGGTCGAATATACTTTTTTTATTGTTCCATACAGCTGTTTGAAATTGGAATATGAGGCTTGCTCTGAATAATACCTGTATAAAAATACCTGTAATGGGGCGTAAGCCTATTAATGGGAATGCCGTGTGCATGTGAACACGCTCAGAGAGGCAAACGGAGCATGACTCGTGACTTTGAAGCTGCATTAGCTGCCAAAATGCCATTTAACCAAACTTTCCCCTCTTTTTCTCCTCTCTTCCTCATTGCTACTGGCTGCTCCTCTCGTCTCCTCCAAGGTAAGTCATATATGAGCCCCACGCACACACAAACCTCCCCATCCCTCCATGGCCCGCCCGCCCGTCCGTCCGTCCGTACGTCTGTGTTTGTTCAGCAGTGTGTTTCCTCCTCCCTTCTTTGGCGCCGGTCCGTCCCGCCCACCTACCTGTTCTGCTCTGGTCAGGTGAGTGAGGTGTTAGCTCAGCGAGAGCCACTCCGCAGCTCTTCCTGACTCCTCCCGTCTCTCCCTCCCCTTACCCCTTTCCCCCG